TAATAGAACGACATCCAAGACCCATGATACAGAGTTTACAGTAGTAGAAATGCGGCTGTGTTTAGTATGAACATGAACGCTCTAATATTCCTTTTAACGAATTGTGTAAAGAGAATTAAAAGTTTACAGTAGTAGAAATGCGGCTGTGTTTAGTATGAACATGAACGCTCTAATATTCCTTTTAACGAATTGTGTAAAGAGAATTAAAAGTTTACAGTAGTAGAAATGCGGCTGTGTTTAATATGAACATGTACGCTCTAATATTCCTTTTAACGAAATGTGTACAGAGAATTAAAAGTTTACAGTAGTAGAAATGCGGCTGTGTTTAGTATGAACATGAACGCTCTAATATTCCTTTTAACGAAATGTGTACAGAGAATTAAAAATATCGAGGTTTAATAAGTTAGTTATTCTGCTACTTGTGAATAACCTGGTTGAACATATTTTGGCTGTTTCATAACTTATCAGTAACATGGTTGAACGCATTTCATTTTTTCCATACCTTGCCAATAACATGGCTGAACGCGTTTATTTTTTCCATACCTTGCCAATAACATGACTGAACGCGTTTATTTTTTCCATACCTTACCAATGACATGGCTGACCGCATTTCCTTTTTACTGTAACTTGACGGTAATATGGTTGAACGTTTGTATAAAGAATACGCGAAAAATCAAAAATTGCAAGTTTATTTCTCTTTTGGATTGTTAGTTTAAATAGTACAACTTTAATGTTTTACGATTGTTAGTTTAAATAGTACAACTTTAATGTTTTACGATTGTTAGTTTAAATAGTAAAACTTTAATGTTTTACGATTGTTAGTTTAAATAGTACAACTTTAATGTTTTACGATTGTTAGTTTTCCCAAGTTATGGTTGTTTACGTGGTACATGTAGTTTTTAAGATATATAAATGTGCGAAATGAGATAGGACCATTATCCAGTCTATCCGTAATCATTTAGATAAAGTGCTTTTTAAGTAAAAGCTAATTTGTTTATTTCCTCTAGGCCCGGCATGGCCAGGTGGTTAGGCTGCTCGACTCGCAATCTGAGGGTCGCGGGTTCGAATCCCCGTCCCACCAAACATGCTCGCCCTTTCAGCCGTGGGGGCGTTATAATGTGACGGTCGTTGCTAAAAGAGTAGCCCAAGAGTTGGCGGTGGGTGGTGATGACTAGCTGCCTTCCCTCTAGTCTTACACTGCTAAATTAGGGACGGCTAGCGCAGTTAGCCCTCGTGTAGCTTTGCGCGAAATTAAAAACAAACAAACAATTATTTCCTCTAAGTATTTTATTTGAATTCATACCAGATGGCGCTGAATATATTTTGAACTTTTACATATACTCAGCGTTATATGGTATGAATTCAAAAATACACAATATCAAGTAAATAAAGAATATAGAAACTTAAAGCCATCACATTTTTTCTTTTTATTTGTCATTACCAAAATAACGTTTACAGTCACTCCTTTTATATTTATTCACCAAATTGTGGTACGTTAAACTGAACATTAGAACGAAAAGTTTGACAATTTGATTTCAGACTTTTAAGTTCCTTGAAAACGTGTTATGAGTTAGCACCTACAGTTTATTGTCAGTGGTGAACTTTCTTCGAGTTGTTGCTTCGCTTTTCGAAGAATTCTGATGGGAAGGAAGTTGAGTAAGGGTTTCCTGGTGTGTTAGAGTAACTGCCAAATGTTATATTAGCTGGTCATTCGGTGTAACCGTGTTTTATTAGTACACTCCTTCTCACAACCTTTTGTAGTGTGCAACATTATGGCTTAGTTTTATGAAATACCACATGCAACTTTGCAAAAACAAGTTAGCTTTCGTTATCACGGCGAAATAAAGTTGTTGATTTTCTTTTTTTCATAGGAGTCTTAGGCAGAGGAGGCTATACTAGATTTGAAGATTTAACTGACTTCCTCTGTCTGGAATGCAGGAGTGGACGGACAATTTCGGTCCTTGTTCTGAAATTAACCCATCGTCCACTCCTACACGCATGTTGGTAAAGCCCCTAAAAATGTCAAATTAACGATAATTTTAAAGACAGACCGTTAATGTCATTCGTTAATTAGTTATTAATAGTTTCTATTTGCGTGTGGTATTCTCATATGCTTTGATTACTAGGTAATAATAGTAACCGCAATAACTGAAGGAATGGCAGAAAATGCTGTGCTGTATTAAATCTCAATTTCTGTCTTTGACTGTAAGATAAGGAAAGAGACCAAACATAATGTCCGTAAGCAAATTTTAAGTGATATCAAAGGGAAATAATCCAGAATAATAGATAACTAGAGAAACATACTAAAAAATTGCCCGTGATCCTGGCTTGACCTGGTGATCAGGGCGCTCGACTCCCAATCCGCGGGTCACGGGTTCAAATCTTGTCACCGCTCTTTCAGGCATGAGGGCGTTATAATGTGATGGCCAATCCCTCTTTTCATTGGTAAAGGAGTAGCTGAACAATTGGTGATGAGTGATGTTGAAAAGTTACTTTCCCTTTAGTCTATTACTTCTAAATTAGGGATAGCTAGCGCAACAAACAAACTGGACGTTTTTGGATGTGTTCACCTGTTTGAAGTACCAGAAAAAGAAACATTCTAACATGCTTTACATATTAACAAATGTTCAAAAGTTTGGAGAGCAGACTGGAAGACTGAAATCCGTATTTAAAAATGACTTGTGATACAACTGCAGAATGCACATTTTGTTTAAACCCGACGTTTCATCTTACATCTTTTTCAAGGGTTCAGTGTCATATGCAGACCACAAGAGTTTTAAATACAGCCAAATGTTTAACTGACAGTAACTTGGAGAAAATAAAACTGAAACGAAATGCTGATATTAAATAATGTGTTTGGTTAACTTTAAGAATATAACGTCTATTTTCCCTGTGGGTTCAGACATCTGGGACACCCTGTATATAGTGTATGAAACGTTATACAATATGTAAATTGGGCAGTCTTTTTACGGTCACTAATGTATTATAATTAATTCGATGGTAGTTCAGGCGTTTACTGCCTAGAACAAGAGACATTGTTTTCAAAACCAATAAATTCTAAATCTTCTTTTTTTTTCTGAATCTTGTTTACTTTAGATATATAAAAATTAAGGAAAATGAGAGGACGTTTTTCAATGAAAACCGTATTAGCGTTTTGTGTTTTTCAATGAAAACCGTATTAGCGTTTTGTGTTGTGTTAATGCGTATAACAATTGGCCTCAAATCAACGTTTATCTTGGTAGGATAGAAGCGTTCATTTTATATACAACCCGAAGTTTAGTATTATAATATTCTCAAATGCATTGATAACCTTGAGATAAGACTTCATGTTAGTAGAAAAAGTGCATAGGATGAGAAATAAATTTGATAAATCACATTATAAAAGTTTGATAAAACCCTAGCACTTTCAATAGGTGGGTCTGGGATGAAAAAAATTGGTAAATCACATTACGAAAGTTTGATAAAAACCCTAGCACTTTCAATAGGTGGGTCTGGGATGAAAAAA